TAATTTAGTAATTTAGAATGTGGCTAAGGGACAAAAGTTTGCTAGGTGGTCAGTAAAGAAGAATCATTGGAGTAACCAAAACATTTTCTTTTTTAGAATGCTGTTTACCTAAAACAAGCATAAATTTGAGTTGTTTTTAATTCAGATACTTCTTACTTTCAATAGTAGTTTCAAATAAAGGGTTTAGGGCAGACTTGCTGTCACCAAGCAGTTTTAATGCTTGACTTTTCCTCATGTATTTTGTGGTCATTGTCATATCATGTATAACTAATTGACCAAATGCCAGTCTTTGTGTTTATTAAGATACATTTGCCATTGAGAAAAAAATTAAAGTGGTTTCTGAGAACATTTTATCAAGTCCATGAGTTACAAGTATGTGAAGAAAGCATCCTTTTGTCTTAATACATTTAAAAAGGAAAGTGAGAAATGCATGTGAAAGCTTTGGAACCCTACTGACTGAGTCTGAACTAGTTTTGCAGATTTGCCTGGCAAATCTGATGTATATGGTTTGAAAATTTCTCATTTTTACTTTTTCTCATTTCACAAACTTTGCCAGTCCCCAAAGATCTGCTTGGAAACTTCACTGTGCTAATAGGCAAAGTTGGCCTTTCCTGTGCTTCTGTTAAAGTAGTCCATCCTGAAACACTGACCTTTTAGTTTAATAACAGTTTTATTTGAGAAAATGTTTTGATCCTGAAGCTGAAAAGAGTGTTTTCAAAAAGGCCATTTTAAATAGTGGTCTCCAAATGGTATATCTGTTTTCCCTCATGCACTTTGGACCTATCTACCTAGAAGAAATGTATTGTTTCTTTCTGTATTCTATTGATTTAAAAACAAATAACATGAAACTTAGATTTGCTCAAAACCCATTACTACACCAGTTTATTTTCCTGCCTGGGCTTTGAATTGCTATTTTAGATTTTAAACTTTATGCTTGGTCATGTTTTATCTTTTGTTATTTTAAATTCTCCATTGTAGCTAAAGTAATTACTTTTTCAGCTGTGACCTTGGACTTGGGACCCAAAAGGTGTGTGTGTGTGTTTCTTTTCCAGGAATAGCTATGGCATTAAAAAGACAGCTGTGCTTTGACTGACCAGAAGTGATGGGAACTAGCGGGTCCCTTGGGCATGTCTTCTTCAGTGGCTTCGAGAGCATCCCTGCCCTTTGCATCTCTGATGCTTCCTACTCTCACCTTTCTTCCTCCACTTGTGGCCTACCTAGGTGATTGCACCACTTACTCCATCTGTTTACCACCTCATCCCATGGCAGGTGGCTTGGCAGGCATGAGAGGCAGGAGGAGAGTGTAGAAAAGGAAGACAAGCCTTCTGCACTTCCTTTTCTGCAGTCTCTCTTGGCATGGCTGGCTTCCCAGCCCCCCACCTGGCCACCATTTGGAAATGGAGTCCTCACCATTCTCTTTGAGGTTTATCACAGCATCGTGAAAAACTCACTGCTGATTTTGGCTTTTCCCCTGGTAGGAAGCCCCTATGTGAGAGGCATTCACGGTTGTTGTTCACCTGCTAAGTCATGTCTGACTCTTTGTGACCCCGTGAACTGCAGCCTGCTAGGCTCCTCTGTCCTCCACTATCTCCCAGACTTAGCTCAAATTCATGTCCGTTGAATCGGTGATGCTATTTCACCGTCTCAGGCTCTGCTACTCCCTTGTCATCTTGCTTTCAGTCTTTCCCAGCATCAGGGTCTTCTCTAGTGAGTCAGTTCTTCACGTCAGGAAGCCACAGTATTGGAGCTTCAGCATCAGTCCTTTCAGTGAATATTCAGGGTTGATTTCCTTTAGGATTGACTGTTTTGATCTCCTTGCAGTCCAAGGGACTCTCAAGAGTCTTCTCCAGCACCACAAGTCAAAACCATCACTTCTTTGGCACTCAGCCTTCTTAAGGTCCAACTCTCACATCCATCCATGACTACTGTAAACACCATAGCTTTGACTGTACAGACATACAGTGTACTGTGAGGACATGTTGGATCAGCTCCCTTAGAAGATTGATCTCACTGCTTCATGCTTAGACCTGGTATACCAAGGTCTCACCAAAGCCTCATTCTGTTGAGTGAAATTTAAATGAATTGTGATCAAGAATTTGATTGAATTTTGCCTGAGAAAAATTTTGCTGTGATAATTTGATTATCCTGGCAGATCTGTGTAATTTTGCAGATAGTCTGACTGTGCATTGACCCAAACTGATATACTACACTTTAGAGTATAGTTTCATCGGGTAGTACTAACTGGGTTAAATATGTGTCTCAATTTTTGCTACTAATAGAGCTACCAGATGTGAACAACTGGAAAAACTGTGTTACGTTGTTTTGCTTGGTGACAAGAAGGCAAGGAACCTGTGAAAACCATCACCTTGTGGCGGGCATAGCCTGGAACTTCACAGCCAGCTGATACCTGTGTAACCTACCTGGTCTTATTTTTGGATGAGGAAATCAAAACTCAGCTAGGTTAGCTGATTGACCTAAAAGCCTAACTGATAAAAAGACAAAGTCTATCCAGACTCCTTGACGAGCCATTACTGTCTGTAATTTCTCTGCTGGGTTTTGTATTGTTTAAACTTTCAGTGCTGGAAAAGAAAAAAAAAATCTTAATGATTTGCCTGAATCAAACAATTCCTTTTTTAGTTTTTTAAAAGGTTTTTGTTTTTGGCGACTTTTTCAAAGCAGAGACTTGTCTCACGATTTAGACTACCAAGAAGAATGGCAAACAGCAGAATAGTGTGTGTGTATATATACATGTCTATATATATACACGTATGTATATTCAGTTCTAATGGAGAACATCCGTTTGAGAGCAACTTCTTGAGAAAACTGTCCAGAGAGGCTAGTAACTTTCCCAGGGTCCCCCAAGTTGCTGGTGGGCAAACTGGGATCAAACTTTAGCTAGTCCTTACATCTTTCTCTGGTTCCTTGTCCATCATTCTTTTCATTTATATTATATTCTTTCTTCAGCTTTATTGAGAGTCATTTAACATATTTTACTCTTCACTCACTAAAGTGTACAGTTCAGTAATTTTTAGTATTTGCAGATTGTGCAGCCATCCTACAGTCTAGTTTAGAACATGTTCAATACCCCCAAAGAAATCCTATACCCTTAGCTGTCACTCTCCATTTCCCCACTTCCCTGCCCCAGACCTACTTCCTGCGTCTGCAGGTTTGCCTTTTCTAGACATTTCATATTAATGGACATGTGCAATATGTGACCTTTTGTGTCTGACTTCTTTCACTTAGCATTTTTTCAAGGTTTATTCATGTAGCATGTATTAGTACTTCATAACTATTTATGATTGAATAATATCACACTGAATGGATATACTACATTTGTTTATCCATCCATCAGTTGATGAGCATTTATATTGTCTTCACTTTTGGGATATTATGAATAATGCTGCCATAAATATTCATCTACAAGTTTTTGTGTAGACATGTTTTCAGTTCTCTTGGTTATATATGGTATCTAACAGTGGAATTGCTGGGTAATATGGTACTGTGTAGCTTTTTGAGAAGCTGCCAAACTGCTTTTATACTGACTGCATCATTTTACATTCCCACCAGCAGTGTATTAATGTGCAGGTTTCAATTTCTCCACCTTCTCACTAACCCTTGTTGATTGTCCTTTTGATTATGTTTGAATTGGTAAATTATTGTGGCTTTGGTTTGCATTTCCCTAATGATGAATACTGTTGAGTGATTTTTCATGCAATTATTGGCCATTTGTGTATCTTCTTTAGAGAAATACCTGTTTATGTCCTTTGCCCATTTTTAATTATGTTGCCATTTTATTGTTCAATTCTGTTGTAAGTGTTTTTATATTCTGGATACAAGCACCTCAACAGCTATATGATTTGCCAGTATTTTTCCTCATTCTGTGGGTTGTTTTTTCACCTTCTTGATGATGTCCTTTGATGTTGCTATTTTCTGATAGTCCACAATTAAGAGAAAACATCCTTAAGACCTTTCATATATCTTCTTTTCTTGCTGTTACCCAGTGTCAGCTAAATTTTTTGCATATTTCCTAAGGCAAGGTTGTTATAATGTCAAGATTATCAAATAAAATGTTTCAAAGAGCAGAGGCACTACTGTCTAGTTTCCCTCTAATAGGCTCAAGAAGTTGAAATGCTGGGTAAGGTCCTGTGTGTACTCCTAGAGTTTAAATGTTTCTGGTGCTTTCTTGCTCATAATTTTGGGTAGTGGGTTTTGGGTAGTGAAGAGGAAATAGTCCTTGCTTATTTCTTAGGGAGGGCTCTTAAAAGAGTATATAGAATTTGTCAATTTATTTGCTGTCATAGTTGTAAGACTCATAAAACATATTGTACAAAATCTTCTAATTGGAAAGACCAGCTGTTTCAAGTCAAGTCACCAGATACTTAGAGAGCTCCAGCTGTGATCTCAGCACTGTTCTATGTCTCTCTCTCTTCAGCTGTTGGAACTTGAATTTGAAGGACATGTTTTCCAAAAAATATGGTTTTAACATTTTCATGAGTCAGTAAATTCCCTTTTTTCATAAATCATGAAAAAAAAGAATGTAACCACAAATGACTTTATTTCTCTAATAAGTGATTTTTAAAAATGTTCAGTTATCAAAGTGGGAATGTTTTTATGTCATTTTCCTTTCTGAAGTCCCTTCTTTAAAACCTCTCCTCCTCCTCTATACAATTGTCAGACTTCAGTGGTAGGACATCATTTTAAAGAATTTGCACTTAATGGCTCAGTCCCCACTGGGCAGTAAGCAGCTCCTTGAGTTTATTATAACTTTTGGCAGGTACGGAGATTTCTAGGTCACCAGAGAACTCTTGATTAAATTACTCCTGAAGTGCACTAATTGGTCTTTTCCACAGTACTTAGGTGGTTCCAAGGAGATACTGACCAGCTGGCAGAACTTTGCCTAATATTAAGATCTAGTCTCAATTTTGTCTTCCTGAGTATTCTCATGCTTTTGTTTAAAGAAGTCACTTATTTTATCTTTTTCCCCTCTTTGTTGATTTTAGTTTCTGATGAAGAATTGAAAAGAAGAGTGGCTGAGGAACTGGAACAGGCCAAGAAAGACTCTGAAAATCAGAAACGGTGAGTTTCATGGTGTTAGAGACAGATTTTGGTGGACCTGTCATAATTATGAAATGCTTTTGGAGAGGAGTGATTATAATGATACTCATCATTGATGTCTAGCTCAACTTCAGAATGTGCTGAACATAAATTGATGTGGCTCTTTTTGGGTTTGGATTGTGCTTGTAAAAGCCCTAGGTTATCCCTTTTCCAGACTCAGTTGTAAGTCACCATTTTATCTCTTGTATTGTTCTCAGTTGTATGAATAACTGAGCCCTGGTTTTTCAGTATGTGAGAAATAGTTCTTGAGGATTCTTCTGGCATTTCTCAAGCTAGATTCTTTTAATGAATGTGTTTTTGATAGAAAATTGCATTATCTGCTGCATATTGCCAGTATCTGATGGATCATTGAAAAAGCATGAGAGTTCCAGAAAAACCTACTTCTGCTTTATTGACTACTCCAAAGCCTTTGACTGTGTGGATCACAACAAACTGTGGGAAATTATTCAAGAGATGGGGGTACCAGACCTCCTTCCTTGCCTCCTGAGAAATCTGTATGCAGGTCAAGAAACAACATTTAGGACCAGACATGGAACAACAGACTGGTTCCAGATCAGGGAAGGAGTACATCAAAGCCGTGTATTGTCACCCTGTTTGTTTAACTTATATGCAGAGTATATCATGTGAAATGCTAGACTGGATGAAGTACAAACTGGAATCAAGATTGCTGGGAGAAATATTAATAACCTCAGATATGCAGATGACACCACCCTTGTGGCAGAAAGCAAAGAACTAAAGAGCCTCTTAATGAAAGTGAAAGAGGAGAGTGAAAAAGCTGGCTGAAAACTCAGCATTCAAAAAACGAATATCATGGCATTCAGTCCCATCACTTCATGGAAAATAGATGGGGAAACAATGGAAACAGTGTCAGACTTTATTTTTTGGGGCTCCAAAATCACTGCAGATGGTGACTGCAGCCGTGAAATTAAGACACTTGCTCCTTGGAAGAAAAGCCATGACCAATCTAGACAGAATATTAAAAAGCAGAGACATTACTTTGTCAACAAAGGTTTGTCTAGTCAAAGCTATGGTTTTTCCAGTAGTCATGTATGGATGTGAGAGTTGGACCATAAAGAAAGCTGAGTGCCGAAGAATTGATGCTTTTGAACTGTGGTGTTGGAGAAGCCTCTTGAGAGTCCCTTGGACTGCAAGGAGATCCAACCAGTCCATCCTAAAGGAAATCAGTCCTGAATATTCATTGAAAGGACTGATGTTGAAGCTGAAACTCCAATACTTGGGCCACCTGATGCAAAGAGTGGACTCATTTGAAAAGACTCTGATGCTGGGAAGGATTGAAGGCAGGAGGAGAAGGGGATAACAGAGGATGAGATGGTGAATGGTATCACCCACTTGATGGACATGAGTTTCAGCAAGCTCCAGGAGTTGGTGATGGATAGGGAAACCTGGTGTTTTGCAGTCCATGGGGTCGCAGAGTCAGACACAACTAAATGACTGAACTGAACTATGGGTATTAAGGTTAACAGTATTGTAGCTAATAATGAATGTCATAGATAGTACCCATGTTAATAAATAGTATTAATTAGTAATCAGTTCAGTTCAATATACTCACTTAAAAATTCGAAGACTTTACAGATGTGTAAGGTGAAAAAACAAAATCCTCCATAATTTCATTCTGTTGAAATAACCTCATTTCTTTCCCCTAGACTTTTTTCTGTGTACATTCTTCCATGTTATTGTTGTCTTTAGTACTACTTCTACTAGTGGTAGCAGCTAAAAGAGTTCTTTAAAGTTTTTATAATAAACTGGAAGCAATCCAAGTGCCCATCATGGGAGACTACATGAATGAATTATGGCACATACCCACAATGGAATATTAGATACTCAAGTAGATCTTACATTCTGAGTCAAAAAGATGTTGAAAAGCTATAAACTGAACACAGTATTTGAAGCAACGTAGATAGTTTTTTGTGGATAAAGCAGCGCCATGGACTGTAGCCAGGCTCCTCTGTCCATAGGATTTCTCCAGGCAGGAATACTGGAGTGGGTTGCCATTTCCTTCTCCAGGGGATCTTCGCAACCCAGGGATCAAATCTGCATCTCTTGCATTGGCCGTGGATTCTTTACCACTGAGCCAACTTTTACCCTGGGGTAAAAGTTGTACTTTTTAAAGAGTTAAAGTATAGTTGCTTATTCATAAAAATACGTGATTACATTTTAATACACAAAAGTCAATTGCTTCCCTTCTGTGCTGTTTCTGAAATTTGCATATGGCACAAAGCATTATTATTATATGATCGTGTGAATATCTTCCACATGCACAATGACTACTACCAGTAGATGGTTTGTGAGATTTGTGTGTGTGTGTGTGTGTGTGTGTGTGTGTGTGTGTGTTTTGGACTGTTTCACTAGTTTGCTTGAAGAGAGCTAAATGTAAAGAATCTTTGAATTGGTAAATCTAGTTTTCATTCGCTGTAGGGGGCGGTGGTTTAGTCACTAAGCTGTGTCTGATTCTTTTGACCCCATGGACTGTAGCCTGCCAGGCTCCTCTGTCCATGGGATTCTCTAGGCAAGAATACTGGAGTGGGTTGCCATTTCCTTCTCCAGGGAATCTTCCCAACCTAGGAATCAGACCCGGGTCTCCTGCATTGGAGGCAGATTCTTTACTAACTGAGCTACTAGGGAAGCCCTATAAGACCTTCAGCATATAATTTAACCTCATTGGCCCTTAAATATTTCATATCTAAAGTGAGGAGTTTATGAAATATTTTGTAATATTTCTTCTCTTTTGATGGAGTGCTTGGTACACTAGGTCCAATTTGCCTGAAATGTCTGAAACAGGATGTGAGTTTTAGTTTATGCCGCCATTTTCTCAGGAAACAGAGAAGACTCACTGGCTTAGGATTTTAAAAATCAAGACGTAATTAGTACTGCTGAAAGGGTTTACGCATATTTCCATAGTTTCCTATGCAGCACTTTTTAATTATTTAATTGGGGTTCGGTTGATGGAGTATGTAATTAGACAGTGAAGTTTATTCAAAAACATTTCAGACCATTTTCTTTAAGAAGCAGAGAAAATCAGCATGTTATGGTAGAATTCCTTGTCTTTGAAATTTTGTTACTTTTATTTGAATTTTATTTTAATAAGTTTTTGGGTTAGACCTTCATATTTACTTTGCTTACGTTTTTCACATAGAAGTTTTTTGTCGTCTTTTCTTCTGCCATGGTACTGGCTGTTGTTACAATTCTAACTGGGGTTTTTTCCCCCCCTCTGTTACTTAGCTCCCATCTGCTCTCCCTGTTCTGTGAAAGGTAAAGGGCAGATGAGGTGGGTAAAAGGTGCCAGTGAGAGCGGGTTTCATCTCTCTTATGGACTAGGGTTGGCAGCTTAGCTGTAACCTGGGACAAATGACTATTGATAAAGAATTTATTTTCTGTCACTTTTAAGGAGAGTAGAGAGTGGTGCAGCATTTTTTTTTCCCTCTCTTTTAACAAAATGTTTTGTTTGAAATCTTCTTCTTGAAAACTTCCAGCTGTCAAATCTTGGCAAAAAGTGTGTGTTTATCTGTATAATAGTTCTTATAAGAGTCAATAGCTATTATTTTCTTTCTTTTATCAACCAGAGAAGAAACTTCAGAAAAAGCATTAAGAAGGTTTTCAGTGTCATCTTTTAAAAGCAACTTTTTCGAGAAGCACAGAATTTATAGATTATTGTAACTGTTGCCTTAATTGAATGAAGTCTTGAGAATGGTTCCTTGTGCCTTTGGATTGTCACTTGCACATCCTTGGCTTACCAAGTCTTCTGTTTTCACCCCAAATACACGCATAACTATAGTTGAGTTCCTGAGCGCTTAAGTCTGGGACATAGACACAATCCAACATATGCAGAAAGGACTTTGGAAATTATTTCCGCTGTGATCTTTTTCTTTGTAGGGTATTAATCATCTTTAGCTTTTTTATTATGGACAGTTTAAAGCACCTTCAAAAACCGAAGAGTACAGTGAGTCTGTTTCATGACACTGTTTCAACAATTCTGGTTTCATCTGTATTCTGTTCACTCTACCTATGTGGTGAGTGGTATGGAGAAGCACTAATATTTTTAATAAGTTGGTGAATTTCGTGGCAGGGAACTACTCTGAAATATCTTCTGTCAGCCTAGCTTCATTTCAGTTAGGTTTTTTATTTTGGTTGAAAGACTGGAACTTAACTCTGGCCAACTTGGGAAGCAAGGAAATTTTTAGAAGCATATTAAGTAGTTCAAAAGAATCAAAAGGAAAACTAGAGAACCACTAGGTAGGGAAGAACTGGGTACTACTTAAAGCTTTACACAGTGGGGAAGAAGTAATTCCCCTGGATGATGGTTCCATGATAAAGGGGAAAGGATGGTGTGTGGCTGAATTTCATTGAGTGGAAGATGCTGTTAATTTTTAAGAAGCATTGTATTTGGTGTACCACTAAGAAAAAAATAGTTGGAGATAATAGCATAGTAGTTTCTCTCTTAGACTTTTCTTATTGAAATAACTCATTATGATTGACTGAGTTTTTAAAAAGCTATCACTTGTGTGTTTGTAAAAGGAAAATATAAGGAAGATAAATAGGTTAAGTCAGTGTTGTCAACTAGGGGAGATTTTGGTTTCCAGGGGATATGTAGAAATGCCTGAAGATGTTTTTGTCTGTCACAGCTAGTTAGGTCTTACTGGCATCTAGTGGGTAAAGGCCAGGGATGCTGCCAAACATTCTGTAATGCACAGGCTACTCCCCCAAAACTCACAAAACCACACAAGAATTATCTGGCCCAGAATGTCAGTAGTGCTAAGAGTGAGAAACCCAAGGTTAAGTAAGGGATTCTCAAAACTTGTTCACTTTGGTCTAATTCTTCTAAATTGCTCTGTGGCTCGGGGTCTTGATGTCTGTATTTTTCCACACAGTGTCATATTCTGTGCCATCAGAACCTTGACGACGACAACAGCCTCTTGCTGTTGTTCCTGGGATTTTTCCAGGCT